AGGTCTCTGATGCATACAATAAGACCGGCGTAGTAAGCCTTAGTTGCTACTGACAGGCTGATATTCTGCCGCCTCCATAGATGCTTGAATCTCTGGAACGCCACACGGTCCTTGCTGATACAGGCTGCTACTTTCTCAATGACACATCCACCAAGGTTATTGAACCGATTTACAACTTCAAGTGGCTGTTCGGAAATAGCTAAAACCGGAGGTGTGTCCGCCCAGTCCTGCAGTTTTGTGAGCCTTACAATCGTTGTCGGATGACGCCTTCAGTAGCTAAATTGAAGATGAAATATAACTACCTTGGCGCACGCCGCTGATGACAGGAAACGAAGTGGCAAGCATGCCATAAGCTGTGACTTTGCCTGACTTGTGACTGTGGAGCTCCTTCAGAATGGTTGCAAACTTGTCGTTCGCACCTTTTCTTAGTAAACAGTTCCACAGCGCATATCTATCTACTGAGTCAAACGCCGTTGGAATGTCCAAGAACACTACGATGGCTGGCCGTTGTTGGACATGACGGAGTTCAAGAAGTTGGCACAGTGTGAAGATTTGGTCCATGCAACCTCTGTTCGGATGAAAATCCGCTGGTTCCTTTCGGGATACGCCCTCTTTAGTTGCTGAAAGCCTGTGGATTAGAACAGACACGAAAATCTTGGACGCAACAGAGATCAACGAACTTCCGCAATATTTGGTGCAATCTCGGGATTCTTTCTTGTAAATGAGGACAACGACCGATTCTTCCCATGCATTTGGAACTTTCTCATCAATCCGTATCTTCTTGAACAGTGATAGGATTTCGCTGACAAGTGCGTTCCCACATCTTTGAATAGAGTCTGGGATAGGCTGTCAGGGCCGGGGCTATTTGACGCTCCAACGATTGGATTGCTCTTCGGATATCTGTTTCGTTAGGTGGATCTGTAGCGATAGACCACGCACTATCCTAGGGAAACGGAGGTGTCACAGTGGGTTGTTCTAAGCAGTTAAATTGGAAAGCAAAGTGCTCTGCTTATCAACTCAATCGCTTGTGCAAGTTGGAGATTTTCGTGCAGTTTGACCGTACAAATTATCTGACTGACAGCGTGTTGATTGCAACCAGTGGTCTTGATGAGGTAAGATAAACTGCGACAGTTTCCAGCCGATGCAGCGGCTTCTATGTCAGCAGTTAGTTTTGACTACCAGGATTCCCGATCAAAGCAGAGGCTTGACTTCAGCTGTTGAGAGATTGACCGATGTAGTTCATTGGGCTCCGCAACGGCAGGCACGGCCCGTCGACAGCTTAGCAGTTCCGAGAATCTTACCGAAATCCAGCTTATGGTTGTGCAGTGGGTGAGTTTGCGGCTGGACAAACCGGCTTACAGCATTGCTTGTTGCAACTTTGACCACTATTGATCAACATCCAGAGCAGGAGAAAGCTATATTTTCACGAAGCCCTTGTTGGTATTGTGTCTTCACTGTAGAATCCTCTAAATTGTAAGTGCTCAGTCGGGTTTGCTTGGCTTAGGGTGTGCCACCGAAACGCATGCAAACTATCGCACACACATGCATGATCGGTGTCAATTAAAATGATCGGCAATCGCGTACGGTGCCAAACCACCTGTGATTTATGGCTTATGTCACATAAGCGCTGGGTTGACGATGACGGACGCCAGGTAGCATAATGGCGTCCAGGGTGATGAAAGCTCGCACTAGCGAGGACCAGTTGATCAGAACATAGAAGGAGCACTCTCTCTCCTTTGTCAGAACGAACGTCATCATACTCCTGCGGTCCCCCGAGGTGGCGTTCACATGGCAGCAGCCGACCGAGGCGTGAGTTGAAGCCTCCTGCCAAAACAATGACATCTCTTTTTGGCGCTTTTAGAAACAACTCATGGAGCTGTTGCTAGGACTAGTCTTTGTATCTGAGCTGCAGTCGATGTGCGCGTAGGCGGAGAGCACGAAAACAGTGCGCTTGTCTGCTCAGTGCCTGCTAACCTTGCAAGAGCCACGGATCCACATAGCACATAGGCGATTGTTGACCGGAATCCAATCAAAGAAGGCGGCATCGGTCCTAGTCCAGATGCGGCAAACTCAACGTCACCGGAAAGGCGAAGATAGAAGCGACTGTGAGGTTGGACTGGTGACAACAGCTGGTAGACTGTTGGAATCCTGGGGTCGAGTTTCATTCAGGCAGCAGACATCAATTACAGGAGTCTCCAGCGTGCGTGCAGTCCAGTTAGCTGTCCGATCTGCGTTAATGTGCGCACATTGAGGGTTACTTGTTTGAACTGCATTCCAGGTTGCAGGTGCGAGGATAGCAAACTTCGGATTTGGCAGTTCCCTGTCGAGGACTGTGTGGTTGAGTTGACGGGTAGCGAGAGAGAAGTAGGGTTGTCCACAGTCGAAGAATCAGGTGACATGGAGATGAGTAAAACAAGGAAAGAGAATGAAAATTAGTAGCATGTGTTTGTAAAGTTGGCGTATCAGCAGGACAGTGAATCATGAGAGCGAAAGACAGTGAGGGTAGTTGTGTGGTTCCATGGTTCATCAGTAGGCGAAATACTACCCGGTTGCTTAGACCGAAGCAGGTGGGTTATTTTTGGTGACCACGGCACCGAGCTTTTGGCCGAAGTGCCTAACCTACAAGGCAGCAGGGCGAAATAAGGGTTTCACACCCGTTGGAGCCAGTGATTGAACATTCAGTTCATACACCTTTAGGACGACGAACAGCCATACCAGGGGCCCAACACTTTCGAAATCAAAGGCAGAATCCGATCTTCGGATTGCTTGCTGATAGACAATGTTTCCGAGGAAGACAAGCGGCAGTGAGTTTATTTAGTGGCTAGTCACATCCACCACGTCCCAGTTTTGTTAAGCAGACCCTTGTGGATTTTTATAGGGAGTACGCTTGTCAAGCGTAAACCCACCACGTCCTGGAACACAACATTTCACATTTATATGAACTTCGGTCATTCAGCTTCCTGGTATCCCGTATCTGTAGTGCAACTATTTGCGGTGCTGCTCTCTCGTGACATTTCAATTTACAGCCGGCTTCGTCCTCATCTTTCTACCTTTCATTTGGTGATGCCCTAGCGTTGTCTCTGGCCTGGGACGTGATACGAAGCTTATTATCATGCAGCAGATATAATGATCCTATTCCTAAGACCACCACTGACGGTCGGTGCCGCATGGGGTTATTATTATTGGCATGATTCATGTTAGAGGTTAGTCTATGATACTGACAGCGCGTCAACACCTGAACAGAAAACTACTCAGGCCCTCAGCCAAAGTCTTCGATAAAACGTATACCCGAAATGCAGCGGGCCGTGCGCCATGAGCTAGTGAACCGCCTCACGCACAATTGTTTGTCCTGGCTCTTAGCTAGAAGAAGGATGCCACCTAACTCGCAATCAGCGGTCGCGACGAGGAGGCGTCCAGGACATGAGTCCAAGACACAACATTGGGAGCAGCGGGTCAACGATCTGTCAGGATTTAGCCACAACATGCCTCTGCGTACCATGTACTCTTGTGATATATATATATATATATATATATATATATATATATATTGCGGAAATATTGAGTGATCCCACAAAAAGACGTATCTGCGCCACGAACTTCAGTACGCGGGCTGAGCCACACGAAGTCCATCTTTCGACCCGCAACACAGCAGCGTCCAGCTAGTTCACAACCGCTCCAAAGTGATGAATGGTCTTTGGTAAACCACACGCCCGATGTGGTGATTGATTTCTCTCACAAAATTAACTGCTGTACCAACGGTGTTCGGCCTTTGTGGGTCGTACAAGAACTCTCAAAGGTCCGCCTCGTCTTCTGTCTTCTCTCTCTCTCTCTGTGGGCTGGTTGGGACTCGCTTGGTCACGTGAGGGTGCTTCGGTCAGCTTCGTAAGTACGTCTACTCTCTTGGCCGAATGTGCGTTGTTTCCGTGGTTTCGAGGATACAGTCGTTATCTGAACACGTGCGTGAATAGGAACTGGGCTTAGCATCACATGCAACTTCGCGACTAAGCTAGCACCTCTAAGGGAAGAGCGAAAACGATTACATATATAGTCTCCATATTTTGGCGGGGCATTGTGCTGTCTTGGCATTTTGCTGTAAGCACTGATCTTAGGCTATGTGCACAACTTGTCAGAAATAAATATTACTTCGCGTATCGCGAATGATTGCACATCATTCTTGAACCTGTGACATGAAAGGCGTCAGATTGGAGTTCCCCTGTGTCGGAAAGGCCGTATGTACAAGGCCACAGGGAGGTCAGTCCTTCCCTATGGGAGTGAGACTTGTCCCTTCAAGCCGAGGATCTGAGACGCCTTCAGTTGTCCGGTCATCTCTCCCTGCGAAGCATGGCTGGTGTCGGAAGGCATGGCGTATCCGCAACTTTTATGTGCACAGGCGAGTGCTAAGTAGTGCTAAACAGACTGATTCCATAGATTAAGATATAGCACTGAATAAGTTGCGTTGGTTTCGGCACGTGTTACTTTCGCCCAGTCGCGCTGGGCTCCAGACGTCACAAGCCATTGCTCGCAGCCGGCTTCACTGGTGCGTTTGCTGCCGTCTATTCGTAGGTCTTCCTGTTTTAGGTGTCTGCTGCCGATTTATGTGCGGATCATGATCGCTGATCATGACGCGGGACAGTGAAAGCCGGAAGGAAGCCGTCTAGCTGACGCCGTCTTATCTATGCACGATAGCCAGCTGTTTGTAAGTGTATGTTGTTTTCAAAGTGCAGGCGCTTTGACCCTGAATATTTGCTTATTGCATTAAGGTTTTAAGCTAAGTCTCGCTTCCGTGGCCATTAATACTCTTCTTTCCCTAGGTCTTTTGTGTCTTTCGGCAGCGAAGCATCAGTTCTAATGGCTGATGCGCTGCCGCTGTTGTTTTTGTTGTATATTTGCACTAGTTTTGCGTTTTCGAAGCACTTGCACTTATCCAGTTTTGTTCAGCATTGCTCTACTTTCTTTATCATTTTATCTTTAGCAAAACACTACACAACACATATCCCCATGCAGTGAACAGAATACCGACTTATCTCCCATGAGCGGTTATGACTTAACTTCCCTTCCTACTGTCGAGCAAGTCACTTCGATGAAATCACCCTATTACAACGCACACTCTTGTCCACCAAGCAATTTCGACGCGTCATTCAATACCGGCCGTTCATTTTCCAACACTGCCTCTTTCAACGCCAGCACCAACGGGCCATACAGCTCTGGGTGTCCTTCGCAGATTATTCATCCAGACATAGACACAGGCAAGTTAGTTTTTCACTTGGGACCGTGAAAACAATAATCTTCTTTTTTGGTTCCTTGAGTTTAGACATTGATAATTGCAATTTTCTATCACATTTCACTTTTGCCTGAACCTCGGTCATTCATATTCCCAGAATCCCGTATCTGTAGTACAACTATTTACGGTTCTGCTGTCTCGTAACATTTTACTTTACGACCGGCTTCGTCCTTGTGTTTCTCCCTTTCATTTGATCATGTCCTAGCTTTGGCGCAGGCCTGGAACCTGATGCGAAGCTTATTATCATTATTATTATGCCGACGAGGCTGGACCTTAATGGGATGCGATGGCTTGCATACTTCTGTGACCTATTGAACAATACTGGTGTCACTTTCCAAGTGCCTTCAGAGACATCCATACCAGATAGGTCAATGGCTATAGGTCGGACCAACTCAGTCTCACCATCCTCTTTGGAATTCAGGGTGAGGTTAACGGCCCTCTTCGTTTAAAACCTAGCCATGGATGATAACAAGTGAAATGTTATAAGCTCACAGCTCGATTGGTGTAGAGCGCGTTTGCTACGCATTGTCTCTGATAGTGGGAGGGCACTACCCGGCGCTCAACGGTCTGCTCACCTAAAGCTAGACAGTCTCCGGTCAAACTAGCTCAAACCTGCCAAATCCCACCTGCGACTGATCGTAGTTGCAGTTGTGTAACATAATACGGTCGAACAACTTGTGAATCGTTCTAAATCCGCAAACGCCTTGTGTGACAGACCTCAAGTAGATTTCAATGGGTCTCTGCAATCACACTCCCGAGCTGGACTTGCTCCCAACTGTGTTGTGGGTTCGGGTCTTAAGTCAAATGCTCCGGGTGGAGTCCCTCAAGAGAACCTCCATCTACCCTACTGCTTTGCGAGTCAGACTCTTGAGTCAAAGGATAGAGGTAAGACACTTCGAACAAAACCCGTGGGAATGGCAATCGGAGAATATCATATGCCCTTTCCCCATCGCGATGAGACTGGACCTTAACGTAATGCGATGGTTTGTGTGCCTCAGCGATCCATTGAGCTATGCTGGGCGGTGCTTTTTGCACCTTCAGAGCCACTCATACCAGATTGGTCAATGGTTAGATGTCAGACAAACTCAGTCTCTTGGCCCTCCACATTGGGGGTTGGAGTGAGAGTGTGGCTCCTTACTCCATTAAACGAGCTCTCTGTAGTTCAATGCCAAACCCGCTACCTTGCTGTAAGGTTTTTGAACCAAAGGCTTTGGTTGAGAACCCTAATCGTTCTCCTGTCTAGGCTGGGCAACCTGACAGCATCCTGCGCACGCAATACTATGAAATTTCCGCCGAACAATTTCTTGATGCTCTGGCCGTCGCAGAGGATAATCAACGGTGCCCTATCTGCTGCATCGAGCAGGGTGGATAGGGGTTTGGATGCTACTGCTCAAGCCTTCCCGTCTTCTTATTCCCCCTCTTGCGCTTTTTCACCCTTATCGTCCCACTCCAACTTCACTTTTATCCCTCTGCTTTCAACCCCCTAACTCTTGGCCCTCCTCTACCATGCTTTGATAGGCGTTTATCTTCTAGTTACAACTCACATGCAAACGCGGTGCGTCACTCTTGCACTATCGACAAGTCCATGTCTAACCAGGCTGTCAAATCCAGTTCATCGGATACAATTGGGAGCCCCCGATCCTCAAGTTGGCATGCCTTAACGTACGCACATTGCTACAGATCGGTCAACAGGCAACACTTGTGCGAATTCTCGAGACCCTCTCGGTCGATATCTGTTGTTTATTGAGACCCGCCTTCAAGACCCAAGCTCTGTTCTCACTCTGCGACCCCCTTCAGGTCACACTAGCAGTACTTTCTCATTGCGTCTATCCGAAGACGATGCAGCTTCAAACACCGGCCTAGCCGGTGTTGGTATTGCCCTGAGTCTCCGAGCTGAAGCTGCCCTGGTTGTTTGGATCCCAATCAGTAGCCGGACGTGTGTCGTACGTACGACCCTAATATACGGTTATGCAATCTGGCTCCTTAGACCAGCCAACTTAAAGAGACTAGTTACGTTCGACCACCAGTGCCTTCGCAGTTTGACTCATATCTGATGGGAACACAGTGTGAGCAATGAGCGCGTTCGACGGCTCGTTTATGCCGCAGGAAGAAGAAGCAAACCGCTCAGCACCGTTATTTCACTCACCAGGCTCCGATGGCTGGGCCACATGTTGCGCATGCCTGTCCACCGACTTTCACGACGTGCGTTGTTTGCGCGCCGCGTGTGCGGATGGGAGAAGAGGAGAGGTGGCCCAGCGATGACTTGGTCAAGAGGAATGAAGGCCGTACTTCGAAGTCGGCTTCGGTTGGAGCCTCTCGGCTACCTGGTTGGGGACCAAGGGACGTTGAACACATTTGGTTGGATACACTTGTTGACATGGCTAGGAGCAGACCACAGTGGCGTTTGTGTTGTGAGTTCCTTTGTCCATCCCCCTCCGCTTAGCCTCCTTCTCTATCCACGATCTCAATTAATAGGCATTATATGATTTTTTGCGACACAATAGCCGGCTGTTGACTCTGGAACGAGGTCCATCAGTTACTGGTGGCTAAGCCTGCGTGCCTCTGTTTCACCGTTTTCTTTTCTTTTGTTTTGCGGCGCCATAGCTGAGGTGTCTTACACCTGTAGCTAGCGTGTATAATGAATAAATGTTGGTGTGTTATCTGTGGTTTTTTTGCATCCTATGATGTTCAGTATCCTGCCTTTTCATATTTCTTATCTTTTGTATCACAGCACACTAGTTGAAGTGCATTTCTCATATGTAATGTGATGATGATGATGATGATGATGAGGAGGAGGAGGAGGAGGGTGAGGATGAGTTCGCCTCGACAAGCGGGGTTCGCAGTGGTTGTCCTATATCTATTTTTCTCTTGCTTTTTGTGATCGAAATTATCCAACACTACTCCGTTCTTTCAGGTCAACCCGAAATGAGCTCTATACATCCTTAACATTTACACTTTCTCTGTGGAAGCACAGAATGACGAGACCAACCAAAAATAGAGAATTACAGTTTTAATGTATTCGTCCCAGCAGCTCAAAGCTAGATAGCACAATCACTAATCCAGAAAAGCACCAGACGCGTTTCGCCTTATTTGGGTCGTCAGTGGTGCGCATCCTTCGGTCCCCTACTGGGGGTCAAATCCATGGCTGCTGGAGGCTTGCGCCAACTAGCCAGCAGCTACTACCACTGCGTCATCTGGGACGGTGGCTTAGCTACTTAGTTTGCAAGCTAACTGGGATACAGCACGACGTATCTTCCATTGTCACGCAGTTTACTACCTTTGCAGATGGCAGTGGAAACCCTCCAACGCATGTAGACACAATGATGCAAATCCCTGTAAGCGTACAACATGGCCAAGTTAATGATTTTACTCAGTCTCGTTCTAATCAATTCACAACCAAGCTAAAGCTATTACTCTACTCCCAGGAGAACGACTTCTTGACTTAGAGTATGCAGACGACATTGCCCTCATCTGTGACAGCTCCCAGACGTGTCAAGCCGCGCTGGACAGATTAGCATTGGCTGTCAGTCGCTTCGGGCTTTGCTTTGCACCAGCGAAGTGCAAAACGTTCCTCCAGGATTGGCAGGGTTCACCCCCTGTGCTGACCCTTGGTGGGGATCAGCTAGAAGTCGTTCAGAAATTCAATTACCTGGGAAGTTGTATCAGCGCCCTTGGGATCGAAGACGAGATCACGAACCGTATAGCGAAAGCTCGAAGTGCTTTTGCTAACCTTCGCCACCTATGGCGACGGCGCGACATTACTCTCGCCCTGAAGGGTAGAGTGTACAATGCAGCGGTACGTTCGACCTTACTGTACGGTTGCGAAACCTGACCCCTAAGACCGGCGGACATGAAGAGGCTACTTACGTTCGACCATCGGTGCCTTCGCAGTTTGGCTCACATTTGGTGGGAACACCGCGTGAGTAACGAGCGTGTTCGACGCCTTGTTTACGGCCTAGGAAAAGGAACTGAACCGCTCAGCACCGTCATTTCACGTACCAGGCTCCGATGGCTGGGCCACGTGTTGCGCATGCCAGCCCACCGACTCCCTCGACGTGCGTTGTTTGCTCACCGGGGGTGTGGGTGGAAGAAGAGGAGAGATGGCCAAGCGATGACTTGGTCCAGAGGAATGAAATCCCTCACTTCGGAATTAGCCTCGATTGGAGCTTCACGGCTCCTTGGTTGGGGTCCGAAAGACGGTGAACACGTTTGGCTGGATACACTTGCTGACATGGCAAGGAGCCGACCTCATTGGCGTTCCTGTTGTGAGTTTCTTTGTCCCTCCCCATCCCTTTAGCCTCCCCTCCATCTACGATCTTATTTCGTAGGGTAAAACGTAATTAAATTGTTGTTTTTTGCCTAGTAGCCGGCTAGTAGCTTACCGGAACGATGCCTATCCGTTGCTGGTAGCTCAGCTGGCATGCAACTGTCGTATTTATTTTTCCTTTATGTATTGTATGTATGTATGTATTCCCTTTATGTATTGCGGTACAATAGCGGAGGTGTTTTACCACCTCTAGCTGACATGTATAATGATGATGATGATAAAGCTATTACTGCTATGTTCTTTCCAGTCACAAATCGTTACTCTTCAATATGAAGATTACGCCTGCATTTCAGGCACGAGCTTCATTATGCTCAGTTTAAGGTGACTAGCACTCGTTCAGAAGAGTTCGTGGGTATGCTGATCTGTTATCCTTGGTCGGCTGTACGGTTTTGGTTCACTTCATTGTGAGAATGTTTGGCGAACTGGCGATGATTCGAATATACATCCAAACGGAGAAGCAAATAAAAATCATGCAGGGACTTTTCGCGAAATAGGTCGTACAAGTTTGTAGAGCATTGCAGTTCAGTCAGTTCCATTGATAAGTTATATAGCACAGTCGTAGCATCAGTAGCAAACGGGTTTTCAAGCAACCGTATTTCTTCACTGACATTTTGGAAGTCTTGAAACCGTTCATTGCA